GTTCAGCAATAGGCTCACAGTGTGACCTGGGCCAGTTCTCCCTCTCTAGGTCTCAGTTTCCCCATCTGTAAAAGCAAGGCTCTCTGGGGTGAGGAGCTGTTTATCCACATGGCCAGTCCTGCTCCAGGGGGCCTCCTGGTGTCTCAAGACATGCAACCTTCAAGCCACAAAGGATCGTCACTGACATTACTACTTTTATTTTGTAAGCCTGCATGTCTCAGGGTCATGTGTGTGTGTCTGTGTGTGTGTGCACACAGGCACACATTCAGATCTGCAGGTGATGTGGCTTGGGGAGAGGCTGTCATAAATATTAAACTCCCAACTCCAAAGTACCCTGCAGAGATTCAGAACTGCAGGAATTCATAATATCGTTCTCTTTCAAGACTCAGTGTTCTCAGGAGTGTGGGCACCGTCATAGAAAACTATCGAAAAGGAGAGTGAAGAGTGAGAGAACTGCTGAGCTCGGAGGGAACTCAGAGCTCATTTAGTCCCTTGTTCCCAAAGCTTCAAGCATGATCCATGGTCAGCAGCATCACCCTCACCAGGGAGCTTGTTAAAATGCAGAGGCGTAGCCCCCAGAGGAACACGATGGATCAAGATTTGCATTTAAACAAGATCCCTGGGGGACTCGCCTGCACATCTTTGTTTCTGAAAAGTTGTCCTAGTCCCCAGCCCTCATCTGCATTTGGGGGAAATGTGAGGATCAGAGAGGGGTGGAGTTTGTTCCAGGTCCCCCAGTCCATTAGCAGCAGGGCCTTGACAAAAACCTGTGCAGACTCTGGAAAAGGATTCAAAGCTCTCTGCAACAGGCAGGCGTTTGCACAAAAGATGAGTAAGTGCAGAAGAAATGCACAGTGTTGCTAATTGTGTCCATCAGGGTTCAGGCAGGAAAAGAGAATCCAACTGCAATGGTTCTTGGGATTTGAATAAAGTGGCTATTTCTAGAGTTGGGGGACAAGCTTGAGGAAACCAACCAGGGACTGTTATCCCTAAGGCTCAAGCAGCAAAGAAAAGCATCTGGGTATCCCAGCCCAGGGAGATAATGGGAGCCACGGACAAGGGCTTATCAGGAAGGACACAGCCAACTGCCACACTTGTGATCAAGAGAAGACAGCAGGGAAAAGTGCCCTGACATCTGGCCTCCTGCCATGCCACCATCTGACTGAACCCAACTAGAGATGAGGAAACTGAGTCACAAAGTGCCCAAAGTCACCCCGTGGGGGAGTCAGGATTCAAATCCTGGCCATCTGGCCCCAGAGTCCATAAAGATAAACGTTAAGGTTTGTTTATTCCTTTGGCAATTATCTACTATTTGCTGCTCAGTATTCTAGACACTACGGATTCCAAATTCTGGGTTTTTCAAAATCTTTTCAGTAACACTTTTGTAGTCAGAATGGTATCGGCGGCGAGTCCGCAGCACTGCCAGCCCTTGTCTTCTCAGAGGAAAGAATTCAATTGAGAGATGGAGGCAAGTTTTAAAGCAGAGGCAAAGGTTTGTTGAAAGAAGCAAAGTTGGGCGCTGTGGCTCAAGCCTGTAATCCCAGCACTTTGGGAGGCCGAGACGGGCGGATCACGAGGTCAGGAGATCGAGACCATCCTGGCTAACACGGTGAAACCCCGTCTCTACTAAAAAATACAAAAAAAAAAACTAGCCGGGCGAGGTAGCGGGCGCCTGTAGTCCCAGCTACTCGGGAGGCTGAGGCAGGAGAATGGCGTGAACCCAGGAGGTGGAGCTTGCAGTGAGCCGAGATCCGGCCACTGCCTGGGCGACAGAGCGAGACCCCGTCTTAAAAAAAAAAAAAAAAAAAAAGCAAAGTGCAATTGAGAGATCAAGTGCCCCGCCCAGCCTTTGGCTCGAGGTTTTTATACACTGGCTTGGTTCTGGGGTTCCTTCCTTGGGCAGGCTGTTACGCCATCCCTGCGTGCGCAGTGACCTGCCAACCCTTGGGAGGGGCCGCACGCGCAGTGTGTTTACTAAGGTTGTGCGCATGCTCACTTGGGGCGATTTTCCCCTACGGGTCTGCCGCAGCAAGCGAAAGATCATATACAAGTCAGACTCCTCCATTTGCCCTTCTGCTCATGGTTAAGACCTTACCAGGGAATTGTGGTTTGCTGGCTCCAGATGACGTCGACTATCTGTTAGGGAACTCCTCTCCCTCTCTGCGCCATTCGTGGCCACTTATGTCAAAGGGACAGTTTTATGATTGCCTGTCCATCATTTGATGCACTGCCATTTCTGGGGACCCTCTCCTGCACAAGAACACAATAAACATCCTTGTTAAAAGAGTCCCTATTTCACTGCAATAAGACTGAGTGGTGGCCAGAGTGGTAGCAGCTGTTGCTTTTGTGGAATTGGATGGACAGCCTGATAGGAGAAAGGCCCAGGGGTTCTGACCAGCACTGGGGTCATGCTGCTCTCTGAGGTCTCTGCTGGGTCCTGGGCCATCCACAGGGACCTTAGCCAGGACTGGGAACCTGCAGGGGTGGAGGCTGGGCCTGGGCCACTTGGCAACTCTAAGGTTGCTGCTGTGGGAAATTCCCAACCCTGCAAATGACCCCTAGCCAGGGACATCCTTAAACTGTGGCCAGAGGAAGAGTGACATCTATGTCCCCATAAGATCCTTATGCTCCAGAATGTCCTCCCCCACTCTCCTCCGCTCCTGGTCAGGCTGAGGTCCAGGAAGCAAAAGCCCCTAGGCACACTGGGGATGCACCTGTGAGCCCTTCCCTGCTCCAAAGCCTCCCAAAGGCTGGCTCCTCACCCTGAGGCCTCTGCTCAGTTTGTTGCCTCCCAAAAGAAGCCTGCCCTGACCAGCATTTTGGAATGGCATCCCGCAGACCTGGACTTAAATTCCTGCTGGATGACTGCGGCCTACATCACTTCACCCTGCCAAACCTCAATTTCTTCATCTCAAGACAAGACTAAAATATGCACCTGGGGTTGCTGATGCAGGGATGAGAGGAGACGTGCAGCTTAACCAGCGCAGCACCTGCACATAGTAGGTGCTCAATAAATATCAGTTTCTTTTCAATTCCTGCCAGGTGCTGCAAGGATCTCAGGAAATGGAAGACTCAGCCCTGCCTGCAAGGAGCCACCAGACTGGTGGGGTGGGGGCTGAGGGGAGGGACAGAAGAGGACCCCAATAAACCTCAGCCCCAGTGACAGGAACAACACAGTACGAAGGAACAGAGAGGCCTGGACTGTGGGGTTCCCTGGGCTTAATGTGGGACGTCCTGATCTTAACCTCAGTGCCTGCCTGTGCTGTTTGTGACCTGTTGGGACTCACCCTGTTAATCCCACCACATTCGATTGGTTGAGGCCATCATGAAGACCTGCCCAATTTCAAGGGAAGGGGACAGAAACACAACCTTTTGATGGAAGGAGTATCAAACAATTCGTGGGCATATTTTTAAAGGACCACAATTACCAAAAAGCAGAGTGGTTCATGCTGTGGTGGGGAAAGTGCGAAGGGTTCTGGGACCTCAGGGGAGACCCTTTCTAGAATCCAGAGAAGCATGGGAGTGGTCAGGGAAGGCTTCCTGGGGGTGAGGGCAGAGCAGAACTCCCAAATGTAAGCAGGGCTGGGGCAAAACTCTAAAAATTAAGCACAGTCCGTACTATAAATTTTGTTTTCCAGAATGAAATTTTAGTATCTTTACTTATGACAAATATATGCCAGAGACCATACCCCCAAGAAAATAAAAATTTTAGAGGCTGGGCATGGTGGCCCAAGTCTATAATCCCAGTATTTTGGAAGGCCAAGCAGGAGGCTCACTTGAGCTCAGGAGTTCGACACCAGCCTGGGCAACATAGCAAGACCTCTTCTCTACTAAAATACAAAAAATTAGCTGGACATGGTGGCTCACGCCTGTAGTGCCAGCTACTCAGGGGGCTGTGGTGGGAGGATCACTTGAGCCGAGGAAGTTGAGGTTGCAGCGAGCGATGATCGTGCCACTGCACTTCTGCCTGAGCAACAGAGTAGACTTTGTCTCAAAAAATGAAAAAAGAAAAAAAATTTACATATCAACAAGCAAAACCTTTTTTTTTTTAACACTTATAATTCTACCTCCTAACCAGAGACAAGGCCTCATGACTCCTTTCTAAATATTTTCCAGATTGTTGAATATGGAAGCCTATTTTGAACCCCCCAAAATAGAACCTTACTCTATGGTGCCATTGGAAATGGATGCCTCATGAGACCCCTTTCCTTGCCAAGAAATACCTTTATTTCTGCAGCCTCACTTTAAAGTGTGTGTCATAATTCATTTAACCAATGACCTTCTGTTGGATACATGAGGTTGGGTCTCACTTCTCCTGTTTCACACAGCATAGCAATGGTATCTTAGAGCAGTGATTTACTGGCACACTGACGCAATTATGTGCTTAGGGGCAAGTCCTTGAAATTGAATTCCTGGGTCACAGGGCATGTAGCTGTTTAAACATTTGCCAATTGCCTTCCAGAAAATTTTATCACCAGCAAGGTTTGAGAGAGGCTTTTTCCCATGGGGGAAAACATTTATTTTTTAAATAAACAGAGCCGGTATATTAAAAAAAAAAAGAGAGAGAGAGAGTTTGGATGGCGCCAGACGTGGCTTCACTCTCAACCCTGCCGTCTGCTGGGTGTAAGATCTTAAGGGGACTATGTGGCTTCTTTGAGCCTCAGTTTCCTCATCTGCAAAACCAAGCCTTCCTAGCCGAGCTCTTAAGAGACTGGCTGAGATGAGGCAAGATGAATGGTGATGAATGTGGGTCTTTCTGTGGGGAGGGTGGACAGGGATGATCATAGAAGCCAGGCTTCCTCATCCACTGATCTGGGCAGTGAAAACTGGCTTCTAAGTATGACCTTATGACTTCAGTGATGTCGCAAGCAGGTTCCAGTCCCTGTGCCTCCCCTTCCCGCTCCCAGGAGCCCACCCACCCTCAGGAGCTGCCCCCAGCCATCAGACCTTGGCCACTTAAGGGACCTGGGCCCAATCCACAGCTGGGACAGTCCCAGCCCACTGCACTGGGAATCTAGGATGGGGGCCTTGGCCGGGGCCCTGCCGTCCATACTGCTGGCATTGCTGCTCACGTCCACCCCAGAGGCTCTGGGTGCCAACCCCGGCCTGGTCGCCAGGATCACCGACAAGGGACTGGAGTATGGTAAGAAGCCATGTCTGCTGGCTGGACTTGGCAAACCCAGGCCCCAGGCTGCTCTGTGTACAGTGGAGACAGGGAGTGGGGACACAGACCAGACCCTCTCCCTGGGGCAGTGCCACCTTCTGGGTCAGGCAGCTCTGGCTCCAATTCTGGCCTCACTGCCCACCAGCTGAGTGCCCTAGGCACGTTATTTGTGGTAATGAGGTCCACCACCAGCCAACAGAACACAGCTTTGCGTGCAAGTGGTTGATTTGAGAAATGATTCCAGGAAAAACTGTAGGGAATCGGTACTAAGATGAGGAAGGGAGGGCAGCCAGGAGAGAGTGTGCAATTAAACCAGCCACCACCTCTGACGATGGGAACCACCCAGCTGGGAAAATTCTGCATAAAGTTTGGAAACACATGCCTCTGAACTAGAAGTCAGAATTGTGGTCACCTCTAGAAGCAGGCAGAGACCCTGAAGGGCATGAGGGAGGGGAGCCTGCCGAGGTACTAGAAGGTGCCATATCTTGATCCAGGTGGTGATCACAGGGCTGTATAAACATTAAAAGCTGGGCATGGTGGTTCACACCTGTAATCCCAGCACTTTGGGAGGCCAAGGCGGGCAGAACACAAGGTCAGGAGATCAAGACCATCCTGACTAATACAGTGAAACCCCATCTCTACTAAAAGTAAAAATAAAAATAAATTAGCCAGGCGTGCTGGCGGGCACCTGTAGTCCCAGCTACTCGGGAGGCTGAGGCAGGAGAATGGCGTGAACCCATGAGGTGGAGCTTGCAGTGAGCTGAGATTGCACCACTGCACTCCAGCCTGGGCGACAGAGCGAGACTCTGTCTCAAAAAAAAAAAAATAAACAAAATAAACATTAAAAATTATTTAGCGATACCTTTAAAATTTGTGCCCGTTAGGTACTTTATGTATATTATTCCTCAGTTTTAAAGAATGGGCAGGCCAGGCGCAGTGGCTCACACCTATAATCCCAACACTTTGGGAGGCCGAGGTGGGTGAATAGCTTGAGGCCAGGAGTTCAAGGCAAGCCTGGCCAACATGGTGAAACCTCACCTCTACTAAAAATACAAAAATTAGCCAGTCATGATGACGGGCACCTGTAATCCCAGCTACTTGGGAGGCTGAGGCAGGAGAATCACTTGAACCTGGGAGGCAGAGGTTGTGGTGAGCCGAGATCATGCCACTGCGTTGCAGCCTGGGCAACAGAGGGAGACCGTCTCAAAAAAATAAATAAATAAAAATAAAACAAAGAATGAGCAAAAGTAGGAATATTTCTTTTAAAATGTTGAAACAAAGCCTCCAGACTATCCAGGTGGCAAGGGAACTGGGATATTTATACACCACAGTGATTCATTGAGGGTTTCTGGGCCGGGGGTTTGTCAGTGCCCCAGCACTTCTGTTGCATGTACCTGCTTTCTGCAGTTCCAGGACAAAGAGCCTCAGGACACACAGGCTCAGGGAGGCAGACACTGGCAGCTGGGAGTCAACTGTCACTTACTGGAAAGACTCAAGGATATGGACAGGCACTGACCACCTGTCTTCTCACATTCCTAGAGCCTGAATTGCCTTACCTATTAAATGAGATAACAACGTTCCCTTAAGTAGGGTTGTTGGGAGCCCAGAGTGGCTCGAGGCAGGGAGAGGGAAATCAGGGAAGGATCCAGGATAAAGTAAAATGGAAAAGACAGTGGGAATTACCCAGGGACAAGGGGTAGTGTTCCAGGCGGAGGGACTCCAACATTGGCGTTTGCTAGAGGGAGAAGAGCAAATTGGAAAGAGGTGAAAGGGGAGGCCGCTGGCCATCTGCGTACCCATGCCTGCCTTAGGGGCAGAAACGTGGGTCCCTCAGATCTCGGAACAGTGGGACCTGGTAACTGCTACTTGCATTGAAACCGTAAATCAGGAGAGTTTGTCTTTTGTTCCTTTGCACTGTGCACACACAGCATGTTTATGTAACCTGTCCTCTGAGGTTGGGCATTTTAGTCCTTTCCTTTTTTATGTTTATTTTTTATTTATTTATTTTTATTTATTTATTTTTTTGAAACGGGATCTCACTCTGTCACCAGGCTGGAGTGCAATGGCACAATCTCAGCTCACTGCAACCTCCAACTCCCTGGTTCAAGTGATTATCCTGTCTCAGCCTCCCGAGTAGCTGGAATTACAGGCACGAGCCACCACACCCAGATAATTTTTGTATTTTTAATAGAGACAGGGTTTCACCATGTGAGCCAGGATGGTCTTGATGATCTGCCTGCCTCAGCCTCCCAAAGTCCTGGGATTACAGGCGTGAGCCACTGCACCCGGACCCTTTCCATATTTTTAATAATATAAACCCTGTTTGCTGTTCCAGGCATTTACTGAGTGCCTGCTGTATGCCAGGCACAAGTTAGGAATGCTTGTTATCCTCCCAGCCCTCTTCTTGCTTTGCAGTTTCGATGCCAACCCAATGAGGAAAGTTTTGTTTTGTTTTGTTTTGTTTGAGATGGAGTCTCACTCTGTCGCCCAGGCTGGAGTGTGGTGCGATCTCGGCTCACTGCAATCTCTGCCTCCTGGGTTCAAGCGATTCTCCTGCCTCAGCCTCCCAAGTAGCTGGGACTACAGGCGTGTGCCACCACACCAGGCTAATTTTTGTATTTTTTAGTAGAGATGGAGTTTCACCATATTGGCCGGGCTGGTCTCGAACTCCTGACCTCCGGTGATCCCCCTGCCTCAGCCTCCCAAAGTGCTGGGATTACAAGCGTGAGCCACCACGCCTAGCAAATGTATTGTTGTCATTGCTCTTTGACAGATGAACAAAGTGAAGGTTGTTTGGGGACTTTGTCAAAGTCACCCAGCTAGAAAGATGCCCGCTTTCTCTAGCCCCCAAATCCTTCCAATTTCTTCTACACAGACCAGATGCCATGGAGGACAAGAAGGAGGACCACCTGTCCAAGCGCACCGAACTTTTGCCCTCAGGGAGTTGTTGGCAAAGGCATTCCATTTCCTTGTCAGTAAAATGGGTATGAACCTAACAATGCCACAGAAATGCAGGGACGCCTCTGAGTGTCCCTCACGCTACCTGGCACGCAGAGGGGCTCATATCCTGTCAGTGTACTTAATGCTAATAACGATGTTGACCTCTCTCTTCAGGGCAGGTGGGAGCCACCGTAGGGGAGAGCAGGGGAGGAGGCAGGCAGATCAAGCTGACTCCCAGCTATTTCCTGTCCACAGCGGCCCAGGAGGGACTATTGGCTCTGCAGAGTGAGCTGCTCAGGATCACGCTGCCTGACTTCACCGGGGACGTCAGGATCCCCCACGCCGGCCGTGGGAGCTATGAGTTCCGCAGGTGGGGCTCTCCCTTCTGCTGGGGCTCCGAGGTGGCTGGAGCTGGCTGTGAGGGCAAATTGGAGAGTGAGGAAGAGAGAGCCTCAGGATTGGGCTGCGGAGGGACCTCTCTGGGGCAGACAGTGGGATAGTTCCCTGAAGAGTTCAGAAGGAAATTCTGGGAAGGAATTGAGCTCCTCCACTCATTCATGCAGCAAATATTAAGGAAGACCTTAATATCTGGCTGTGTGACCTGAGCCTCGGTTTCCTTACCTGTAAAATGGGGTTTATCTGCTTCCTCCTTCAGAGTGCTAATCCAAGATCCAATCTGGCCACTGGATGTAGTTTGGAAGAGAAGATAGACCTTACACTTTAAATCTAGTAGCCCAATGGTTAGAGCTGAAGTTTGTACTTGGGGGAGTCAGGGAAGGCTTCCCAGAGAAGATGGCATTTGAGCCAAGACTTCAAAAGATCACTAGACTTGAGCAGTTGATACTTTAAAATGGCGTCAACTGCTTTTCGAGGGTTGGGCAGTGAAGAAAGTACCATCAGGCCCGTAGCACATTGTACCCCTCCCCGCTCACTGCTACTGAGTGTTTCCTTCATTCCTGCCTTCTTTTATTCAGTCCATCAGCAAACATCTATTGAGCACCTACTATGTGCCAGGCAAATAAAACAGAACTTGACCATTCTTTTCCCACTGTTGGCAACCTTGCTGACCCTTTTGGGTCTTCTCTTAAGGCTGCCACCATATTCCCTGAATTTGTTTCCCGCCTACCTGGATGTATTGGGAGAGGGGAGGGTTAGCAGGAGCTGCGAACCCAAAGAGATATGTCTACGGACCTCCTGAGGATGCCACCTGGGGTCATTAGATTCATGGTTTCTGATGCTGACTGCAAAACTGCGGGTAGTTGCATCCTTTCCTCAAGGTTCTATTTCCCCTTCTGTGGAAAGGAAACAGGAACAGTCCTGACTCCCTCAGTGTGGCCCAGATGGCATGAAGAATGTAATGTGCTTAGCATGGACACATGGTCGGTGCCTGGGACACACCTGGTGCTCACCTGGAGCAGATCCTGCTGATCTAGTCCCCACTGTGGAGAGGGGAGGCCTGCAAAGGTGGGAGCAAGGTCCCTGGTGAGGCTGGGTCCAGGCCCAGGGCTGACACCTCCTTCCATGTCTCTCCCTTCAGCCTGAACATCCACAGCTGTGAGCTGCGTCACTCTGCACTGAGGCCTGTCCCTGGCCAGGGCCTGAGTCTCAGCATCTCCGACTCCTTCATCCGGGTCCAGGGCAGGTGGAAGGTGCGCAAGTCATTCTTGTAAGTTAGCCCTGCTCCCAGGCCCTGGAGCTCTTGGCCTTGGCCTTCGCCCCATCCTTCTTAGGTCCAAGGTGTTCCTAGCTCATCAGAAAGGCCACGTGGTGGACAGATGGAGTCCAAGCCCAGAGGTGGCCTGGGGATTGAGTCCTGGCTCTTGGATGAGCGTCTTTCCCTCTCTGAGTCTCTACTTCCTCATCTCCCAAGGGGGACGGGCCTGCTTCCTTGATGGAGTCACGGGAGGGCTAAGTGCGATAATATCATGTCTCCTTGGTTTGCTTCCCACAGAAGCAGACCTTAGGGCAAGAATTCCAGTGCAATACTTTATCCTGGAAGTGATCTGAGGAAATCCACAGGGGAGTGGGGAAGTGAGGAAGGGAAGGGAAGGAAGTCAGCCTGGTGGGCAAGTGAAGCTCTGTCTAGCTGGGGGACTCAGGGACAGCAGAGAACACACCTCTGAGTTACTCCAGCCCCGCCCTGTCACCCTTCCTCCTGTTTGTCATTGGCCAAAAGCTGCTTCCAGGGGCTCTGGCTCTCAGGCACTTTGAACAGATCTCTGACCTCAGAGGCACTTGGATGGAAGGGGTATTCATGTGCTAGGGCTGCCATAACAAACATAGACTGGGTGGCTTAAGCAGAAATGTGTTTTCTCACAGTTCTGGAGGCTGGGGGCCAAGGTCAAGGTTTTGGCAGGCCTGGTTTCTTCTGAGGCCACTCTCCTTGGCTTGCAGATGGTTGCCCTTTGGCAATTGTCCTCACGTGGTCTTTCCTTTGTGCTTAAGAAATCCCATTTCTGAGGCCATGCACATTGGTTCACCCCTGTAATCCCAGCACTTTGGAAGGCTGAGGTGGGAAGATCACTTGAGGTCAGGAGTTCGAGATCAGCCTGGCCAACATGGCGAAACTCAGTCTCTACTAAAAATAAAAAATAAATTAATACTTTAAAAACTAGCCAGGTGTGGTGGCAGGTACCTATAATCCCAATTACTCAGGAGGCTGAGACAGAAGAATTGTTTGAACCCTGGAGGCAGAGGTTGCAGTGAGCTGAGATCACGCCACTGCACTCCAGTCTGGGGGACAGAGCGAGACTTCATCTCTTTAAAAAAAAAAAAAAAAAGAAAAGGAAAAAGAAAAGAAACCCCGTTTCTCTCTGTATGTCCTAATCTCTTTTTATAAATACACCAGGCAGATTGGATTAGGGACCACCCTAATGGCCTCATTTAAATGTAATCACCTCTTCAAGGGGCCTATCTCCAAATACTGTGACATTCTCAGGTACTGGGGATCAGAGCTTCAACATTTGAATTTGGGAGGCAGGTGGTGACACAGAGCAGCCCATAACAGAAGGAACAGCCCAAATATGGTTGACATGGCCATATTTATACTTCAGACCTGCACTGCCCAAAATAGTAGCCACCAGCCATGCCTTTACTGAGTACTTGCAAAGTGCCTGGTAAAAGTTGAGATCTACTCTAAGTATGCAACACTGAATTTGAAGATTTAGTATTTAAAAAAAAGAACAACAACAACAACAACAACAACAACAACAAAACACACACAAACAAAAAAAAACACCGGCCAAGCATGGTGGCTCATGCCTGTAATCCCAGCACTTTGGGAGGCTGAGGCAGGTGGATCATTTGAGGTCAGGAGTGTAAGACCACCCTGGTCAACATGGTGAAACCCCATCTCTACTAAAAATACAAAAATTAGCTGGGCATAGTGGTACACACCTGTAATCTCAGCTACTTGGGAGGATGAGGCAGGAGAATTGCTTTAGCCTGGGAGGTGGAGGTTGTGGTGAGCCAAGATCACGCCACTGCACTCCAGTCTGGGCAAAAGAGTGAGACCCTGTCTCAAAATAGATAAATAAATAAATCTCATTAATAATTTTTATATTGATGACATGTTGAAATGATACTATGTATTACTAAAACCAATCTCAGCTCTTTCTTTTTATCTTTTTAATGTATCTTCTGGAAAATTTAAAATTACACGTGTGGCTCACATTCTATTGCTTTAGAAAGATGCCCGGTTTATATGTCACCTACACACGCACATTCTTTCTAGTTCCATGAAAGGAACCGGCCACACTCTCCTACCCTGTCTTTTGTCAGTGAAATATCTTAAATATCTCTTTATATGGGCATATGACAATCTACCTCAATTTCTTTTCACTTTTTTGAATGTGCTTTTAAAAATTGATATGAAATTCACAGAACATAAAATTGATTATTTGAAAGTATACCTTCAGTGGCATTTAATACATTCACAATATTGTGCAACATCCACCCCTATCTAACTCCAAAACATTTTCATCATCCCAAGAGAAAACTCCTTACCCATTAAACAATCATTCCCCATTTCCCTTCCCCCAGCTCCAGACAACCACCATTAGGGTTGGAGACCCCTGGAATAGACCACATTTTGACCTATTGTTTTCAAAGTCTGCATAACATGGGTGCCTACAACTTATTCAACCTGTCGCTGCTGGTGGACATGTCGGTTGCTTCCTTTTTTTTTTTCTACTGCCCATGATGCTTCAGTGAGCTGTCCCACACCTCACATATATCTTGGCAGGAAGAGCCACGGGATAAAGGCTTAGAAGTTAAATTACTGGGCCAAAGAGTATGTGTGTTAGAACGAGGACAGATCTCACTGATTTGTGTTTCAGAAAGCTTGAGCCAATGTACTCTCCCAGCCACAGTGTCTGGGACTTCTGTTTACTCATACATTCAATAGCCTTGGGTATTAAAACTTCAAAAGTTTTTTTGAATCTGATAAGTGAGAACTGGTGTCATTGCTATTTTAATGACTTTTATATGCTTATTTTATACTGCATTTCCTGTTCGTATCTTTTTTTTCCTTTTGAGTTGTTTTTCCTTTCCTTGTTGATTTGTATTGGCTTGCTCTTTGTGTATTAAGGAAATTAGCTCATATATTAAGGAAATTGGCTCTTTGGATGTCTCATACTGCAGTTTTGTTTTTTACTTTACATATGGCATTTTTTTTGGTCCACTGAAGTTTTAGTTTTCTATGCCGACAAGTTTATCAAGGATTTCCTTTATGGCTTATGAGTCTTGGATCTTGCCTAGAAAGGCCTTCGTCCAGCCCTGACTGTAAATACTGGATCCAGGTTTTCTTCTAGATCTTTTATGGCTTTATTTGTTATTCTTACATCTCTGCTCAGTTCCATCCATTTGGAGGTAAGAACTGAGACTTCTATTTTCCCCACAAATAGTGGCAGACCCTGGTCTAGGAACCAATCATGGCTTCTCTTATCTCCTCCAGGAAACTACAAGGCTCCTTTGATGTGAGTGTCAAGGGCATCAGCATTTCAGTCAACCTTCTGTTGGGCAGTGAGTCCTCAGGGAGGCCCACAGTTACTGCCTCCAGCTGCAGCAGCGACATCGATGACGTGGAGGTGGACATGTCGGGAGACTTGGGGTAGGTCTCCATCGGGGCACTGCCAGCTGGACTCCTGGTTGCAGCTCCTGGCCAATCCGGTGCTCAGCCTGGCCTCTGGTAATTGTAATGATCCAGGTGGCTTGCACAGGCACTTGAAGATCATTCTCTGGCAACGATGTTGAGATGAACAGACTTAAGCCAGGAATATTGGTGCATCATTGTCATTAAAAAAATAAACTTTCATTCACCTGACAAGGGGACCCCTGTCAGGTGAATGAAATCTGGCTATTGGAGGAACACCAAAACTTTGGTTGAAGGAGAGTTTGCGAAAAATATACAAGTCCTTGGACGAGTCATTTCATCTCTTCTAGTCTCTGTTTCCTCGATTAGAAAAGTGTGACCAGGTGTGGTGGCTCACGCCTGTAATCCTAGCAATTTGAGAGGCCAAGGCAGAAAATCACTTGAGCTCAGGAATTCAAGACCAGCCTGGGCAACATGATAACACCTGTCTCCACAAAAAATACAAACATTAGCCAGACGTGATGGCACATGCCTGTAGTCTCAGCTACTTCAGGGGCTGAGTTGGGAGGATGGCTTGAGGCCAGGCGACAGAGGTCGCAGTGAGCTGAGATTGTGCCACTGCACTCCAGCCTGGGTGACAGAGTGAGATCCTGTCCCTCGCTCCCTCCCAAAAAAGAAGAGAAAAATGTGGATTCTCAAGCTGCTTCCCCAAATCTACTGAATGTGATCATGCGATGATTGGGGTGCCACAGGGGCTGGGAAGCCAGACACACCGAATCAGGCTGGATGTACTGGGACACAGCAGGGCGCCAGGAGGGGGTGGAGAGGGCTTCCTTTGTGGACTAGCGTGGCCAGGGACCCGGGCCCAGCTTTCCCAGGAACCCGGCTGTCCCCATGTTCAGTGGCAGGCTGTGCTTCTCTCCGCAGGTGGCTGTTGAATCTCTTCCACAACCAGATCGAATCCAAGTTCCAGAAAATACTGAAGAGCAGGGTAAGAAGGTCCAAGCTTCTGGCCTCCCCCAAGCTTGGCGAGGGCTGAATGGAAGACCTCACTGACCACTGGCCCTGGACCAGGCCATGGGGGTTGGTTTGGATGTACTTGGGCCCAAGGCTGAGGGAGGACAAATCATTTGCCCAGGTCATGGAGCTGTTGTGGGGCACGCTGGGGGCAAAGCTCCAAGTCCATTCAGTCAGGGCAGAAAATGGTCAACTTCTTGGCCAAGAGTTAAACAGCAGGGGCTAAACAGAGACTCCAGCCCCTCTCTCTGCTCAGCCTTGCTCAGTGTCCCACACTGCCCTACATTCCACCAAGGTCCCAAAGGAAACCATTCCTCAGGTGCCTGCAGGAGACCAGGCAGGAAAGCTCAGCGAGGGCGTGGGCCAGGTGGGAACTGGGCAAGCTCGTGGGCACCAGCCCTGGATGGGGAGGCAGCAACACTGTCAGACTGGCCTGTTAAAAAAGAATATGTGAAATCTTCGGAGTTTGTCATCTTTAACTAAATCAAAAAGATGTTGTGTTAACTTTCAGTTCCTCTAAACACTCATTCATCCCAAAATCCCATTTCTGAGATACTAGCCAAAGGGTATCTGTAGCAATGACTGTGGGAAAGGAGAAAGTGATGAAGGAAGAAAGGGAAAAATACACACAAACACACACACACCCCACCACCCCACACACACCACACACACACCCTACACACTCCCCTTCCACCACACACACACATACACCACATACACACACCACACACCACACACACACACACCACCCACACACACACACACACATCCTACACACCACACCACAACACCCCCGCACACACACACCATATACACACCCTACACATACATACCCCCACACACCACTTACACACCCCCTCATACACCACACACCCCTACACTACCCCTGACACTCTCCCCCACACCTGCCACATACTCCCTACCACACACCCCACACCACACCCTCCACATACCCACACACATGCCTACACCCCACACTTTCCACCCCACACTCACCACCCTCCACATACCACACATCCCCACACACACATCCCCCACACTCCCCACACACACCCACCACCACCTCCCATACCACACACACACATCCCCACACTCACATCCCCACCTCACACACACACACCCACACACCACACCCTCCACATACCCACACATCCCCCACTCATCCCCACACTCACACCCCCCACACACCACCCTCCTTGCCCACACACACCACACCACCTCCCACACATACCCACACACACCACCCTCCACATACCCCTTACCCACACACACATCTACACTCACACCCCACACACACACCACCCTCCACATACCCCACACACACCCACACACACACCCTCCACATACCCCACACACCACACCTCTACATACCACACATCCCCACACACACATCCCCACACTCACACCACCTTCACATACCCACACATCCACACACACATCCCCACACTCACCCCCACACACACACACCACCCTCACATACCACACATCCCCACACACATCCACTTTCACACCCACTCCCCACACACACCCACACACACATCACCCTCCACATACCCACACACACCCCACACACCACACCCACACACACCCACACACCACCCTCCACATACCCCACATACCACTACACACACACCCCACACACACACCCCACACACACACCACCCTCCACACTTCCCTACATCCCCCCACACACACATCCCCACTCCACACCCACACACACCACCCTCCACATACCACACATCCCCACACACACATCCCCACACTCTCACCCCACACACACCCACACACCACACCCTCCATACCCACACACATACCCACACTCACATCCCCACCTCACCACCCTTCAATGCCCACACACACCACACCTCCATACCCACACATCCCCACACACCACACCCCTCCATACCCCACACACACCCACACACCACACCCTCCACATACCCACACATACCCACACTCCATCCCCACTTGCTCACACCACCATACATGCACACCCACACCACACCCTCCACATACCCACATCCCCACACACCACACCCTCCACATGCCCCACACACACACCACACCACACCTCACATGCCACCTGCACCACGCCATCCCACACTCACCCACACACCACACCCTCCCCACATACCCACACACACCCACACACCACACCCTCCACATACCACATACCCACACACACATCCCCACACACACACCACCTCCACATACCCACACATGCCACACACACATCCCACACTCACCACCTTCACACATGCCCACACCCCCACACACCACACCTCACATACCCACATGCCCCACCACACATCCCCACACTCACACCCCACATACCCACACATACCCACACACACATCCCACACTCCACCCCACACCACCCTCCACATACCCACATGCCCACACACACATCCCACTCCCACCCCACACACCACCCTCCACATACCCCCACATACCCACACACATCCCCACACTCACACCCCCACACACACACCACCCTCCACATACCCACACATACCCACACACACATCCCCACCTCCCACCCACACACACCACCCTCCACATACCCACACACTCCCACACACCACACCCTCCACACATGCCCCACACATACCCACACACACATCCCCACACTCACACCCCACACACACACCACCCTCCACATACCCACACATGCCCACACACACATCCCCACACTCACACCCCACACACACACCACCCTCCACATACCCACACATACCCACACACACCCCACACTCACACCCCACACACACACCACCCTCACATACCACACATACCCACACACATCCCCACACTCACCCCCCACACACACACACCACCCTCCACATACCCACACATACCCACACACACCACCCTCCACATACCCACACATACCCACACACACATCCCCCACACTCACACCCCACACACACACCACCCTCCACATACCACACATACCCACACACACACCCCACACACACCCACACACCACACCCTCCACATATTACCCACATACCCCACACACATCCCCCACACTCACACCCACACACACCCACCCTCCACATCCCACACATACCCACACACACATCCCCACACTCACACCCCACACACCACCCTCACATACCCACATACCCACACCACCTCCCCACACTCACCCCACACACACACCACACCCTTCACTGCCACAGCCCCACACACGTCCCACACACCCCCCACACACCCCACACACACCCTCCCACACACACCTAACACACCACACATCCCCCTACACACATCTCCACACACACCACACACCCCACACACACACCCTCCCACACACACCTAACACACACAACTACATCTCCACACCACACCCCACACACACCCTCCCCACACACACCTAACCTACATCCCCTACACACATCTCCACACACACCACACACCCACACACACCCTCCCACACACACCTAACACACCACAACCCCTACGCATCCCCACACACGAAAGGCACACACCACCTACACACACCTACACATACACACACACACACCCCACCCCCCACACACACAACCCACACACCCTGCATCCCCCCGCCACACTCACCCCTCACACACCTCCCCCCAACACACACCCACCACACCCTCACATGTGCCACACCCCCACACAAACACACACACCCCACATACCACACACACACCCTACACACACCCCCCTACACACACACCACACACACCCTACACACACCCCCTACACACACACCACACACACACAACACACACCACACACACACCCCACACGCACACACCACACACACCACAGGCACCACACACATCCTACACACACAAACACACCACCCACACACCACACACACACCACACACACATGCACACACACCCCCCACCCGGTCTGTAGGTCCAACCTCTGGTTTGGCTTTGAGAGTGCGCCCTCATTGATTTAGGCTTGAACACATGAGCAAACCCTGCCACTTTGGATATTCCAGTTGATATTTGTTTCTTTTCTGGTTCTGGGTCCTGGGATTAAGTGACCTTCAAATATATGCCAACCTACTCAGGTACCCTGTTGCCATATTGCTGTGCCTAACAATAGTAATGTAGTACAATTATAATTATCATAGTAATCACGTACCATGATAATTATTGTTTTGATAAGTAAAGATATAATTAATGCTGTACAGAATATATTATTGTATAACTATTCTGATTTATAACAAAAATGGCTGCTATTTCTTGAGGCTGTGGCCAGGGATAACAGGCTCAGCACTTCATGTGCACGGTCCCATTAGTTTTTTTTTTTTTGAGACAAAGAGTCTCACTCTGCTGCCCAGACTGGAGTGTGGTGCTTTGACCTTGTCCACTGCAACCTCCACCTCCCGGGTTCAAGCAATTCTTCTGCCTCAGCCTCCCAGAAGTGGCTCTGGGACCACGGGCATGTGCCACCACACCCACACCCAGTTAGTTTGTTGTATTTTTAGTAGAGACAGGTCTTCACCATATTGACCAGGTGGTCTTGAACTCCCTGACCTCGTGATCCACCTCAGTGTCCCAAGTGCTGGGATTTCAAAAAATTGGCGAGCCACCACACCCGACCAGTCCCATTGGATCTTAACCTCAGCACTTGCATGGAAGGAAGCATTTTCCCATGGACAGAGGGAGGCTGAGGGGGTGGAGTAACAGTAGCTTGCTGGTGAGAGAGGCTGAGATCAGGAATGGAGCTTTCCCAGTGTGGAGCAGCTCCGCCCATCAAACACCTTCTGGGGCTGGGTATCTTGGGAAAGATGGAGATCTTGCCCTGACCCCTGATCCTTAGAGATCTTCAAATTCTCTTCCTTCCAGAAAAACTAAGAGCCTGGTGCAGGCCTTTCTAATTCCCCACTGGGGATGGATGTTAGCACTGGACCAGCAAGGCTAAGGAGAACAAGCGACTCACAAATGCTTGCTCTCTGGAGTGATATATACTCACTGCCTCATTCCCCAGCTTCCCAAAATATTGACCGCCAGAAAGGGTCCCGATCTAGGAACCTCAAGAGAGGATTCTTGGATTCTGATTGCAAGAAAGAATTTGGGGTTGAAATTCACTTAAAGTGAAGGCACCAAGGTTTATTAAGAGAAGTAACAACGAAAGAATGGCTACTCACAGGCAGAGCAGCTGCATGGGCCTTTCATGTATATCTTGTGTGGTTATTTCTTGGTCGTGCTAAACAAGGAGTGGATTATTCATGAGTTTTCCTGGAAGGCGGGGACTTCCCAGAACCCAGGGGTTCTTCCCCTTTAGGCCATATGGAGCCGCTTCTGGGCGCGTTGCCATGGCATTTTATAGCTGTCATGGCTGGTAGTCATGTCTTTTAGCATGCAATGCATTTTGTTAACATATAATGGCGGTGAGAGGATGACCAGAGGCATCTTGGTTTTTGATTTGGTTATTAACTTTCATTACCACCTCCTGTTTGCCACACATCCAGCAGGGTCTTTGCCTTGTGCTGTATCTTTGTGATATTTCAGTCCTGCCTGACCTCTAGCTCATCCTGTGACTAGAATGCCTAACCTGGGAGGCATGGCAGCAGGTCTGGTCTCATTTGCTGTTCAAGATGGAGTCAACTCTTGGTTTGACACCACTGACAAAAACACCCTGGGAAGCACTTGGCTTGCCTTGTATCTTGTGGGTAAGAACCAAAAAGCTTGAGTTCTGCAAGGTCAAACAACCATTGGGGACTGGGCAGGATTTGGGCTTAAGTTTACCTGGCTCCTCTGCACTGCCACTACCCCAGCTGCCTCCCCAGGAGGCCTGCTGTATGTCTGTGACTCAGGCATCCCCATGCCTCCCCTCCCAATCCTTCGGGTCCCTAGAGACTGGGGCATCCAGGTTCCAGGCTTTTGGGATGGTCTAATGGGCTGTTGTCTGAAAGAAAGGCAAGAAAGGAGCGGTCTTCAGGAGATGGGTGCAGGTTTCTTAATTTCCCTTGCAATCAACCACGAATGTTCCTCACCACACTTGACCTTGCTTTCTGGCAGCTCTCGCTGCTAAACTCCTCTCCCAGAAAGTGGTTGTGAACAGGTTAGATATAGAGCCCTTTGCCTTCCCAGCCCCCAGCATCGCCCTTCCATCAGCAACCCAGTGCCTGATGGATGGTGCCTGCTCACCCAGCACAACACAGAAGCCATCTGTGACCCTGCACTAGACAGGACACCCGCATGTCCCTCTCCTTCTACTGTATATGTGGTTGTTGAACAATAGGTGGTAGCTATTTGACAACAAGAGCTGTTTAAGTGAGGTTTCTCATCGCACATAAAGAAAATATTGACGTGAATAAAATGTTTTAATGGGGTGGAGTTTCGACAGCGTCTCAATGCCCCCTCTTGAGCTGTGTCGAGTAGATACTTACAGATTTTCTTTGAAAATGGTCTCTTGATTGAAATTCCCTTGGTCTTTCCTGCATAAAACTGATAACCCACTACAAATTCCATCCGAGGTTTCTTTAACTACAATGAGAATTTAAAGATACTTGCAAAGCCGTCCCAGTGTAGAATCCTTCTTGATCTTTATGATTTTTCCCTCTAAGATTTTCTGTTGTCTGGTCCAAATTTAACCATGTTTTAGGGTTGTTGTTTTTTTAAAGCATCTCCACTTTCCAGAGGATTTATCTTAGGTTTTCATAGAAAGAACACTTTTAGCTGGGGCCAGGCACAGTGGCTCATGCCTGTAATCCCAGCACTTTGGGAGGCCGAGGGGGTGGATCATTTGATGTCAGGAGTTCCAGACCAGCTTGGCCAACATGGTGAGATCCTGTCTCTACCAAAAATACAAAAATTACCAGGGTGTGGTGCACATGCCTGTAATCCCAGCTACTTAGGAAGCTGAGGTAGGAGAATCACTTGAACCTGGGAGGCGGAAGTTGCAGTGAGCTGAGGGTTATGCCATTGCTACTCCTAGCCTGGATAACAGAGCGAGACTGTGTCTCTCAAAAAAAAACAAAAACAAAAATAACAACAACAACAACAAAAACCTTTTTCTCAATGATATTGCATTAGTATACGCAAAAATAATTCAGTGATTACAAAAGCAAGTACAGCAAACAGGTGGTAGGCTTTCATAGCGGGCCCCAGTAGAACTCAGTTGGACACTAAAAGTCTATCCCAAGAGCTGCATAATAATAATTGCTGGTGATTACAGTGGCAAGTGCACCCAGCAAACAAGTTTGGAAATGCACATTTCCCTTGTCTTTAGCAGGCCGCACCAACTGGTGCTTGTGTGTAGGTAACTACAGGCCCCAGCATTCAGATCTTCAGGAGTACCCAAGCGGGAATGGGGGATACTGATCAATCCAGCCAATCTGTTCAGGATGACCATGAAGAAGAACTATCTTTGGCTGGGCGCGATGGCTCACGCCTGTAATCCAGCACTTTGGGAGGCCAAGGCAGGTGGATGCCTGAGGTCAGGGGAGTTCAGAACCACCTGGCCGCTGCAGTTGAAACCACTGTCTCCACTAAATATATAACAATGGCTACGGGCATGGTGGTACGCGCCTGTAATCCCAGCTACTTAGGAGACTGGAGGCAGGAGAATCGAAGCTGAACCTGGAGGCAGAGGTTGCAGTGAGCCGAAATCGCGCCACTGCATTCCAGCCTGGGTGATAGAGTGAACCTCCGTCTAAAAAAAAAAAAAAAAAAAAAAAAAAAAAAAAAGGCTATCTACATTAACTGTATGCTTATTTGTGTGACTATTTCTAGTTAGTCTGCCTTGTCTAGTTCTGCTATTAAACTCTAAATTCGGAGAGGCCAGGACCTCCCAAAGGAAAACTTGGTGATGGTGGAGTTTCAGGCATGTCTCCTGGCTGGCGCCCTCACTCGGGCTGGGTCGGTGACTCCCTAGCTCAGGTGTCCCGGCCTTGGGACAGACAGAAAAGTCCAATTGGACCCAGTAGTGGAGTCCACACGAGGAGCCTACATATTTTTATTGTTTCTATTTCCTTGATGCCTGGCTCATGACAAAAGCACTTACTAAGTATTTGTAAGCCAATGATCACTGAGCATACATAGCGAAATAATGTGGCTGCAGTGATCCGCTTGCGAACCAGACCCAGGCGAGAGGAACTCACTCAGGCATTCTCTTCCCGTGGTTTTCAGATTACAAAATGATCCAGAAATCGGTGTCCTCAGTCTAGCCTTATCTCCAAACTCTGCCAGGTAGGACACCCCATCCACCTGGGACATTTTATTTCTGTTTATTTCTATGAGAGCATATAGATACCTTAAAATAGTAAATGGAACAAAAATATGAAAGTAAAAATTAAGGGCCAGGCGCGCGGCTCACACACCTGTAATCCCAGCGCTCTGGGAGGCTGAGGCAGGTAGATCACCTGAGGTCGGGAGTTCGAGACCCAGCCTGGCCTACATGGTGAGAGCGTCTCTACTAAAAAATACAAAATTAGCTGGGCATGGTGGCACATGCCTGTAATCCCAGTGACTCGGGAGGCTGAGGCGGGAGAATCACTTGAATCCAGGAGGTGGAGGTTGCAGTGAGCCGAGATTGCGCCATTGCATTCCAGCCTAGGCAGACCTCTGTCTCAAAAAAAAAAGAAAAAAAGAAAAGAGAAAAGAGTAGAAATTAAAAAGTTCATTTTCTCCCAACTTTTCTTCAAAAGAAGTAACCTCTGCTTTGGGTGTATCTTTTCAGATATTTTCTTTGCATGTACAAATATAAATACATGTAAGCATACGAACAGACATTCTTATATGTATTATTTTGCTCATGAATCTATGTGTATATGCATAATTTAAAATATGTATGTTCATATACACATAATATAGAGCATTGTTCTAGATTTCTTTTTTTTTGAGAGGGTCTCACTCTGTGTCCCAGGCTGGAGTGCAGTGGTGTGATCTCGGCTCAGTGTAGCCTCAACCCCTTGAGCTCAAGTGATCCTCCTGCCTCAGCCACCTGAGTAGCTGGAGCCACAGGTACATGCTACCACACCTGGCTACTTTTTGTATATTTTTGTAGGAACCTGGGGGTTTCTTTTATGTTGCCCAGGCTGGTCTCCAACTCCTGGCTCAGAGTGATCTGCCCACCTCAGCCTCCCAAAGTACTGGGATGACAGGCGCGACCACTGTGCCAATTGATTTCATTTTAAAAACTTTGTGAAGTATATTTATAGAGAAAAGTGCTCTAATCATAAGTGTGCTGTGAAAGGTTTTACACATGCATGTAACCAGCTCCCAACCGAAGCAGAACATGTTTGGTTTTTCAAAGCCCTGGTGTCCCCACCGGTCACTGCAGCCCTCAGGGTCACCACCATCCCAGCTTCCAGCAGCGGGGGTGGATTTTTGCACTTTGCGTGAGTGAATCAGACAATATTTTCAGTATCTTTCAAGCCAAAGGTTTTCTTTGTTCAGCTTTAAAATGAGGTCAGGGGTTGAGCAGTGGCTCGCCCTTTGTCCCCAGCGCTTAGAGAAGACAAGGCGGAAGTGGATTGCCCGAGGTCAGGAGTTTAAGACCAGCCTGGTCAACATGGTGAAACCCTGTCTCTACTAAAGATACAAAAATTAGCCAGGTGCTGTGGTAGATGCCTATAATCACAGCTACTCGGGAGGCTGAGGCAGGAGAATTGCTTGAACCTGGGAGGCGGAGGTTGCAGTGAGCCGGGTGCGCCACTGCACTCGGCCTCAGGCAAGCAAGAATGAGACTCTGTAGACAAGAGAAAAAAATAAATAAGCCAAACAAAATAAAAAATATGTAGAGGTCAGGTCAGGCGTGGTGGTGCACACCTATAATTCCAGCACTTTGGGAGGCCAAGGAGGGAGGATCACTTGAGTTCAGGTTCAAGGGCTAGCCTGGGCAACATGGCGAAACTATCTCTCTGAATAAATACAAGTGTAGGCATGGTGGTGTGCACCTGTAGTCCCAGCTACTTGGGAGGCCAAGGTGGGATCGCTTGAGCCCGGGAGGTCAAGGGCAGCTTGGTGGGCAGAAATTGTGCCACTGCACTCCAGCTGGGCCACAGAGTGAAATCCTGTCTCTCAAAAAAAAGTAAATAAAATAAAACATGAGGTCAATGCATATCGTTGCATGCACCTGTAGTGTAGCTGGTTTATTCTCCTTGCTGCGTAGCATACCACCATGTCGATGCTTCCCATTTATTTGTCCATTCTACTGTTGAGAAGGCCATCTTGGGGGTGTTCAGTTTGAAACCCTTATCCATAGTGCTCCCTTTATGAATGTCTAAAATACCCTATGTTAGCATGTCTTTGGGTATATACCTGGGAGTGAATTTTTAGCTCATGTGATATACCCAGATTCAGCATTATCCAGATCCTGCCAAACAGTTTTTCCAAAATAAGTTGTAACATGCACCCCGTATGTTAGCAGCCATGTAGTATTCCATCACGTGGATGTGTCCTCATTTATTTAATAAGTCCCCACTGATGAACATTTGGGTGTTTCCTGTCCTTGCTGTTGCCAACAGGCTGCTGGGAATATCAGCTAGAGTGAATCCTGGTTCAGGGTATTGAACACATTAAGGTTGAAGGGGAACCTGATAAATTATCTGAGATGTTCTCTGATGCCTTGGCTCCCCAAGCCCCTACGGTTACTTGCTGACATCAACTTTACCAGAACCAGGTAGAAGCGGCCCAATACTGGAGACTTGGAACATTGGTTCATTCAGGGTTTTGGAGAAGTGTCTGGGTCCTCTGGGCATCGCTGCCTGGCCTTCCTGGCTATTGGCTCAGCATTTAAGCTCAGGTGGCGGCTGGAGAGATGAAGCCTGGACTCATGGTGTGTGTGTGTGTGTGTTGTGTGTGGCCTGTTTGTGTTGTGTGTCTTGCTTGTCTGCCAGAACTTCTACTTAGGCCTAGGCTGAGCATACACCCCCACCACTGTACTTAAACTCATCTAGGGAACCCGTGTAGTCTCTTTCCTGAAGAAGCAATTCTTTGCCTCAGGGCCGGGCTGATGGGGACATTCTGAAAAAATCACAGAAGAGCAGCGAGGTCAGCAGGAGCCCTTGCCCCTCCTCCAGCAGCTGAAAGTGGCACCTGGCCCCCTAATTCTGCCCTGTGTCATTCACAGTTTACAACTTGAGATTGACAGTTTAGCTGGCATTGATTATAGCTTAGTGAGCCTGGGGCAACAGCCCAGATGCTGGAGGTGATGTTTGAGTAAGGAGTCCTGGGGGCCGGGCTCGGTGGGTGAGGGTTTCCTCAGGGTCAGCCATTCCCTGGGCCACCTGTCCCCAACTTCCAGATCTGTCCTCACATCTTCCCAGTGGTTCCTTGTGTCGAGGCCAATTGATATGGAGTGGTGGGATGTGCTCCCAGAGCTAGGATTCTCCGGCTGTCTTACACCTCTCAGGTCTTAACCCTTCCTCCTCCTTCTTCCCTACTTTGCCTTGCCCATCTCATGAAGAGACCAATCAAGCTGGGCTAGGGAGTGTGTAGATGGGCCTAGGAATATAGAGGGCTGGCCAGGACAATCTGTGCAGTTAATACAGCCAAGCTTCTGGGGAGCTTTTCATTAAAAGACATAACACCTTTAATGGTGGAGTTTCAGGCAGTGCTCAGCCAGCGTCCCTTCATCCAGACTGTGGGGAAATACCTGGCCCCCAGCCGGGCAGACTTTGAAAATCCCAACTGGACCCTATTTCCCTCTCAGGGTGAAATCTTTCATAAGTAACCACCGTTCCCCAGTTACCCTCCTTGCTCCAGTCATAAGAAGCCTTCCAGAGAACACAACAAATGGTCTGCCCGCCCTCTCAGATTATGTCTTCAACACAATAGCCTGGTTTATCACGAGGGGAAGGGGTATCTGAACTTCTCCATCACAGATGACATGCTGGTGAGGATGGTGGCAAACGAAAGCTCTCAAATGAACCACGTAACCTCCCGCTCCTTCCTCCTTTCCTTTTCACCCCTGTGGACATCAGTCAAATAGTAAGTTATTGCTAAGAAAAATCCAAGACCAAGAAAAATATGTGCTAATCTCCCTTTTTACTTTGGTAACAAAAACTCAAAGTCAAAGTTCTTTCTCCCATGGCCGAATGCGGTGAGAAGCCATGCCTGTAATTCCAGCGCTTTGGGAGCCTGAGGTGGGCAGATGACTTGAGGTCAGGAGCTCGAGACCAGCCCCACCCATGGCCAACATGGCAAAACCCTGTCTTACTAAAAATACAAGAATATTAGCCAGGTGTGTGGTGGTGGGCGCCTGTAATCCCAGCTACTCGGGAGGCTGAGGTGGGAGAATCGCTTGAACCCAGGAGGCAGAGGTTGCAGTGAGCCAAGATCGTGCCACTGCACTCAGGCTGAGCAAAGGGGAGTGAGACCCTGTCTCCAAAAAAAAAAAAAGCTCTTTCTCCCTTATAACAACCATTGGAAGACTTTTGCAGCTTGCTTATCTGTGTTTTGGTCTTCTATGCCTGTTTACTAAGTCTAGACTTGTTAGTCTAATTCCTTATTTTCTCTCTCATCCTGATGATTTCTGGGTTATTCAAAATATTTCAGTGAATGAGGCCAGGTGAGGTGGCTCATGCCTGTAATCCCTAGCACTTTGGGAGGCCAAGGTGGGGCCGGATCACCTGAGGTCAGGAGTTCAGGAGCCAGCCTGACCAATGTGGCAAAACCTCATCTCTACTAAAAGTACAAAAATTAGCCAGGCAAAATGGTGGCATGCTGTAGTCCCAGCTACATGGAGGCTGAGGCAGGAGAATTGCTTGAACCCAGGAGGCAGAGGTTGCAGTGAGCTGTGATCTCACCACTGCACTGCAGCATGGACAACAGAGTGAGACTGCATGTCCAAAAAAGAAAAATTACGTGATTATATATATATCAGTGAATCATATAGTTGCATATAGTTTCAGAGAAAAGGAAATAAAAAGATCAAGGTAGAAACAAAGCACAATTATAAAGACACTGACCCATAAATTAATTTCTTTACGTCTCAAACTTGTCCTGGGAGCTTCCTTGCTACTTCAAAGTGATAAGGATACATGATTTCATGATTCATGGTGAAAAGGAGAGACAGCCTTCCTCACACCCCCAAAACAACTGTTTCCAATGCGGCTTTGTATAAGGGAGACTGAATTTTATAGTGGATCACACCTTTAATGGTTCTCTAGTTTCTCTAATATTTCTGGGTTTCAGAAAGTTGTTTCTTGAAAGCACTTCACCAAAGTTGAGGAGCCTCATGAATGATGTCAGGATGGTGGGAGAAAAATTGTGGTTCGGCTCGGATGGTCCAGCTTACCCTGGTGTAGAAGTCAGGGGCAAGTCTGGTAGATGGAGGGTCGTTTTTGTCCTTCGAATGGCCTCCTACACCATTACAGGCCTTTGCTTTTGGCATAAGTGTTGGTTTACCCATTCTACCTGCAGCACAGGCCTCTCTTTCAGTGGGATGATAATAGCTACGTTTTATGGAGCACTCACCATGTGCTGGGCCTTGTGCTAGGTGCTCGTTTAGCCCTCACAATGACTTGAAGGTGGGGACTATTGTTATCCCCCATTTTATGGATAAGAGTTGGTCAGGGAGATAAGGGCTGGCTGAGATCACAAAGTCAGGACACAAACCGAGGTCACAGTAATGACTGCAACCCTCACCCTCGCAGACCCACACATCAATACCCATGGGAGAGCAGTCAGGATGCTGGGGACCCATGTGTGCTATAACGGCTGAATGCAGGACAAGCATCTCATCCCCTGCCAGGGTAACCCAGGTCGTGGAGCGACGTGCTTGCACATCCCCCGCCTCCCCAGTCACCTAAAACTTCGTGTGTCTCTTTGCATAGATACCGCCTGACTCTAACATCCGACTGACCACCAAGTCCTTCCGACCCATCGTCCCACGGGTAAGAGTCCACTTAGTGCCGTGAGGTGCAGACCCAGCCCTCACGAGACGCCAGGGGTTTCTGCTAAAACCTCCTCGTACTCTCAGTTTGACCACGAGGTCAGAAGACCAGGATGGGGCTCCCATGAAGGCTGGAGATTTTCCTTCCTTCCAACCTAAATAACGGAGGCTGAGCCCCATAACGTAGGACCACAGCTTGTCCAGTCTTTTATTGGTGTTATCTAAGAATCCCCAAAGGCATGCTGGCATAGTCCTAAAGCGTACCCCTAATGAATAGCAGCTAACAATTACAGAGGGCTTCCTAGGTGCCGGGCATGCTCTTGATGCTTTAAAAAATTAGTTTTTGGCCAGGCATGGTGGCTCATACCTGTAATCCCAGCACTGTGGGAGGCCAAGGTAGGCAGATTGCTTGAGCCCAGGAGTTCAAGACCAGCTACAGGCAACATGGCTGAAACCCCATCTTTTGCAAAAACTTCACAAAAATTAGCCAAGCATGGCCATACAGCTGTAGTCCCAGGGCGCCAGGGGAGGCCTGAGGTGGGAGAGATCACTGAGGCTGGGAGGTTGAGGCTGCAGGGAGCTTGTGACTGCACCACTGCACTCCAGCCTGGGCAACAGAGTGAGACCTTGTCTCAAAAAAAATTATTAAAAGATTAGTTTTTGAACGGATAATAGATTCTCAAGGTTCAACATTCAAAGATCTAAAAGGTTGTAGAGTGAAAGTCTCACATCCCACTCCCTGTCCCTTAACCACCCAGTTCCCATCTGAAGTTTGCCAATATTGCAGATTATGCATATCTTTCTGATGACCAGATCTATGTATATACAGGTTCAGTATCTCTTATAATGTGACCAACTCTGCCCACCTTCTTAGTGAAACATTTTACCTGGCCCCTTCCAAGCGTCTCGTTCTAAAAGAGGGATGTGGGTTTATATCCATAACAAAGGCTCATGGGAGTACTGTTTTTCACAGGTATCCTCTAAAAAGGAAGAGTCTTGCCCCAAATTAAACTCTATACTAGTTACACAGAAAATTAAGAGCACCTTTGAAATGGTGGAGTCTAGGGCTGGTCGTGGTGGCTCATGCCTGTAATCCCTATGCTCTAGCACTCTGGGAGGCCAAAGCAGGAAGATTGCTTGAGGCCAGGAGTTAACACCAACCTGGACAATAACATAACAAGACCCTGACTCTATTTTAAGAAAGAAAAGCTAAAGAAAAGAGAGAGAGAAAGAAAGAAAAGAAATTATTCTGCGAATATCATATTAAAGAATAATAAGAGAAAAGTAAATCGTTTTAAAAGAGAGACGGTGGGATCTAGCTATGTCATGTTGGCTGCCCCAGCAATCCCAACACTCCAGCACATGCCCAATTAGCGAGTGTGAAAATGAGGGATGGAGAAACCTTGGGAGAGGTAGGGAGGGAGAAAAAATGGGCCCAACTTTTCTGGAGGACAATTTGGCAATATATGAAAGCTTTTAAAAGCATTGCTGGCCAGGCGCGGTGGCTCACACCTGTAATCCCAAGACTTTGGCGGGCAGATCACCTCAGGTCAGAAGTTTGAGGCCAGCCTGGCCAACATGGTGAAATCCCGTCTCTACTAAAAATACAAAATTAGCTGGGTGTGGTGGTGCACACCCGTAATCCCAGCTACTTGGGAGGCTGAGGAAGGGAATACTTGAACCCCAGAGGCAGAGGTTGCTGTGAGCCAAGATCTTTCATTGCATTCCAGCCTGGGTGACAGAGTGAAATTCTGTCTCAAAAAAAAAAAAAAAAAAAAAAGCATTGCTGTTCTTCAATTCAGCAATTCCACCTCTAGGAATGTTTTCCTGAAAATAATAGCCAAGGTGGTCATTATAATGGCAAAACCTTGAAGACAACTTGATGCTTGATAGAGTTTCATCCATCTAGGAACCTGTACACAGTGAGTACAGTAAGCCATATGAAATAGATGGCGCCGACTCTGTGTCTGACATGGAGAGATGGCCAGTTTTGCCGTTAGGAGAAAAGGGCACAGAGAATTTCATGGGCAATAAAATCAATCCAAAAGCAATTCCCAGCTCTGACTCCACCTCAGGCCTCTCCTGGCAGACTTGGCATATTTTCTTCTCTTGGCGTGATCTCTAATTCTGCTCCCAGTTAGCCGGGCTCCACCCCAACATGAACTTGGAGCTCAGGATCAGTGCCTTCTGCTCCGCTCCTGAACTTCAGCCCTGGGAATCTGTCTGTGGACCCCTATATGGAGATAGACGCCTTTGTGCTCCTGCCCAGCTCCAGCAAGGAGCCTGTCTTCCGACTCACTGTGGTAAGGTTCAGAGCCTTTGCAAATGCTGTTCCCTTTTCCCCACATGCTTTTCTCCCCACTCACCACCTGGATAATTCCTCCAGGTCTCAACTTAAATATTACTTCCCGGAAGGGCCTTTCTTGCTGGCCTTACCTAATCTACTATGCCCTTTGCCACCTTTTTCTTGTAACACCCTACCATCTTTCTTCTCCAGCATTTTACTACCAAGGTACTTTGTAGCTGTCTGCACGTGTATTTGTTTGTGCATGTATCTCTCACTATGTTAGTCTGGGCTATTGTGAGGAGAAATGTGGGTGAATCTTTGTCTGTTGCTTTGTTCTTTGTCTGTATTTGACCCTGGAAGACTACATTTCCCGTGCTTCTTTGCTCTGATTTCCACCAAAGTCAGCCAATGGGAGGTACTGTCAGGAGAATGAATTTGGGAGGAAGGATGAAGCAGAGTACTATTCCTCTTTCTTTACCACAGGCTCAGACTGTGACTCTATGCTCCTCTGTGGTGACTTTCCATAATTCGCCTCACTCATTGTTCCCTAGTCCTGGGGAGCTGTGGATAACCTCTGTCTCTGCTAATCTCTGGATGGCCTCACCAATGCTTTACTAGCTTCTCAACAATTCCATCCTTGTATAACCAATTCCTATATTAAATTCCTCTGCATTAAACATCGAAGTGAGGTTTCCTTTTTGATGGACTCTGTCTAATAGGGGAAGGAGTAAAGTATCTTTGGGGGGCCCTGCTCGCTGGATGGAGAACTCTGCTCTCTTGTTTCTTGACTTTGAAATCAGCAGTCAATCTCTGCCAGGGTAATTCTTCCTAGAGGCTGTCTGCAATTTTAAACATTTGTTATTGTTATCAAAAGTATCATTATTAATATATTTTAAATTAAAATATAATTTGTTGTCTGGGTTGGTGACTTACACCTGTAATCTCACAGCACTTTGGGAGTCAAGGCAGGAGAATCACACTTGGGAGGTCAGGGGTTTGAGACCAGCCTGGGCAACATAGCAAGACTCCATTGCTACAAAAGAAACAAAAAATAGCCGGGCCTGGTAGCATGCACCTGTGGTCTGTCTACTCAGGAGGCTGATGCGGGAGATCATAGAGCCCAGGAGATCAAGGCTGCAGTGAGCCATGTGATTGCACCCACGCCTCCAGCGGGTGACAGAGGAACACTCCATCTCTAAAATAATAACAATAATAATTTATTATTTGTTGTTACTAGAGCTGAATCTTGACCTGAGATAACTGAGAAATGATCCTTTTAGGAAAACTTTCCAAGAGTAGGTACTCTATACCTTATCTTAGTCGTCTGTTCAAAGTTTAACTGTTATCATGGACAACAATTTCAAGTAAAAATGTTCAAGTCCAAGTTCAAATATTGATTGAGCACCTACAGTGAGCCTTCTGGGAGGGGCAAATTTCCTGCTTTAGCTCATTGAGCTGTTTATTGAGAGGAGACAGTCCCTTGTCATCATCCTTCCCTATACATACAACCTTCATCTTACCTGCTTCCTTCTACTGGCATTTCCAGGCCACTAATGTGTCCGCCATCTTGACCCAGCCAATACCAGCAAAGATCACTGGGTTCCTGCAGCCAGGAAAGTAAGTTGGCCTCCTGCCCACATGCGGGTGCCCAGCTGGACTCCATCTGTATACTGCTGCTTCTCTGTAGCTGGTGGGAGGAAGCCATTTGGAAAGGACACTTACATTTCACCCCAATTGGCCCAATTCTTCTGCCCCACTGGTCCTGCCCCCTGGAAATCTCAAATTGATACCCAAAGAATTCACTAAGACTGTTATTTCTTAATGTATGAATTTAGGCCCCACCTATATTAACTTCCTGAAATGATAAAAGAGTGGAAACTTTACAAGCCTGTTTCATCTGCCCTCTGACAAGTAGTCTTCGATCTCATTGTATACTGCTTTTGGATTCCTCAGTCATCTTTCACTCCTGCTCCCGCCACCTTTGGCCCTATGCCTTCTCAAGCCCAATACTTTCTCCTTCTGGGGACCCCCATTTACTTAGACTTGCATAAAGCTCACACCTTTGAATCTTCTCTGATTCATTACAGGATAAAAGTGGAACTGAAAGAATCCAAAAGTTGGACTATTCAATGTAAGTTGTTCTTTTATTGATGACATGATTAGAATGTTATTGGTAATTTTGGGGTGTTTCCTAAGCAATTGCTATGACATCATAAATAGGAAATACAAAAGGAAGTTGATTTTTGCCCTGGAGAAGTGTAAAAGTCTTGAAAACACAAGACATGGGGCAGGAGACAGTTATATCCTAATATAAAACAATATGTAATTAAGTCATCTACTGAACAGAATTCTTTTAACTGCAAGAGACAGAAAGCCAGTTGAAATTGTCTTAAGCAAAAGAGAAATATATATGACTATATAACTGAAAAGCAAAAATAAATGAAAAAACAAAGATCAGAGGTTTCAGGCATAGCTGGATTCAGGTGTTCAAATTAGTGCATCAAGAATCTCTCTCCCATCTCTCTGTTCTGTTTTCATTTGTGTTAGCTTCACTCTCAGGCAGGCTCTTCCAATTGGTAGCAAGCCACGAGTTTCCTACGTTCCAGTTTTCTTTAAAAATTTACAAAAAAACAAACAAAAAAAACTCCTGCTAACTCTCATTGGACCCAATCTTAGGCACCCAGTCTTGCTTAAGCACTGGCCAGAAGTTGAGCAAACCGATCCAGCCCAGCATGGATCTCATCTACACTCCAGGAGGCAGGATTTGCAGTCACCTACATCCAAATCCCATGGACTAAGACTGGCCAGGAGGTTGTTCCTGGGAAGCAGACTCTGTTATCAAAACAAGAGGGATTGAGTGCTGAGCAGGTAAAACCAAGAAGTGATTTCCATAAAAAGTAGAAAAAGTAGTGAAGTGACGGCCCCATATAAAAGGAGGAAGAGAATGTGAAAATCAGTGTGGGCGAAGTGATGGAGAAGAAGCTTTCTGGAAAGGGAAGGAGGAGCTGGGTAGACTTTGCGTGCAGTCGTTGGCTTCTCTTTACCATTCCATGATGCTGGCCTCAGTGACCACCTCCACCTGTGCCTTACCTCCCAGACTTTCCCAAAGCACTTATGAAGTGGAAGCAAACACAGAAGCTGTGGGGAGAGATGCAGGGACCTGAGGCTGACTCCTTTCAGAGAATAAAAGGGTGGAGTGAATAATGGTACCTCATATTGTATCTGTGCATGTTTACTGCAAAGTAAAAGCATTCGAGGTAAAAAAGTTTCTGGAAATCCATCCTATTGGGTTTCAGAGCATGAAGTAGCAAAAACAAGAGCTATAGATTCAGATAAATTTAGATTCAAATCCTGATGCTGCCCAGTTTCAATGGTAAGTCACTTTCATTCTGTAGGCCTCAGTTTCCTGATATGTGAAATAAGACATTAATATGAACGTTGAGGTACTGTTGTAAAGATTGAATCAGACACACACACAAAGCTCGGAGCTCTCTGCTTGGCATATAGTGGGGTTAAAGTTGTGTTTCATGATTTTTGGTGGAAACGGCTTATTTTGTTTTTGTATTAAATTTTTAAAATTATACAATTAGTTCAGGAAAAACACATTCTCACTGTAAATAAAATTGAACACTTTAAAGATAAGGCTAAGGACAAATTAAAGCGTTAATATTCATTAGCCTATTACAGAGGGAAAGACATTTGGGTGTGTAACTTTCCAAAATTTTTCTATTCACTTGCATAAATGCTCATCTCAAGAGTTTATCTTATAAAATAGTAACATGATGTAATAATAGTTTGCTTTTTCCAAGCGTTTTGCTATCTATGTTGGCACACACAGAACCACCGTGTGGCCATGTGGCGATGTAAGTGTACTTCTCCTGTTCTACTCCAGGCAGGCTGTTGGAAGCACTCCTCCAACTTCCTACATCCTCAACACTCTCTACCCCAAATTCAGCAGTACAGAACTTCACCAGCTGGATTTTCAAGTCAAGAAGCGGACACACTGCCGTCTGGAGGAAGAGGCTGGACTTGAAAACAGAGACCTCCTGGGGCTGTATGACCGGTAAGACCAAGTCCTTCTCTCCCAAGGCTTCGCGACCTTCCTGTGACATGGGATGGTTGAAGTTGGCCTCGCGTCTCCTTCAGGGCTCTGTGAGGGTTGGGGGCTGGCACAGCTCTTTGGAGCACGGGAAACCTCCTTACCAAGGGGCATGGGGACACATGGAGGGTGCTTACGTTCTGAGCAAGTCAAAGACTGAGGACCAAGTTAATATAGAAGGCACAAGGCAGCCGCCTGGACTCACATCTCCCAGTCAATTGCCCAACTGCCTGAGTCAAAGCAAAAAGACTTAAACTCTGTTTCCATGAAGCTTTGCTTCTTTTGGCTGCAACAGAGGCAGGACAAGGCAAGGGCAGGGAGTGGATGCCTGTTCCTTATCTTATAGTGAATGTGTTCTTCCTCCAAGACAGCACCATGCCCGGCAGCTTAGGCTTCAAGGCTTCCAGCTTCTGGGTTTAAATTCCCTTTCTGCCACTTCCTAACACTTGTGTGACCTAGAACAAGTTATTTGTCTGTTACCTCAGTTTCCTTATCTATCAAAATGGAAAGAATATCACACCTACCTCATAGTCTTGGAAATCATTAAGTAAATATAAGAATATAGAGTTTGCAGAGAACATTTTCGGTAAATCTGTCTCCTAGTATTGCACATATTCCACTAATCTCTCTCAATGCTGTGCTTCAACCTCCAGATAAGTTGGCTGAGAAGGCTTCCCCCCCTTCCTCTGCTGAAGCGTGTTCAGCTCCTCGACCTCGGACTCCAGATCCATAAGGTTGGTGGGTTCAGGGGCTCTGAGGATGTGTGAGGGAGGAGGTGGTTTATGTCTGCTTCAGAGCCATGACTCTGTGGGTGACACCAGCCCAGCCACTGCAGCTGGGAATGTCACAGCCAGGCGAGACGGGTGCTCCTGGAGCTCACCATATGCCACAAAACCATCCACGTGTCCTTCAGTGGCACCTCTGCTGGTGCAGGCGGCTTTTTCACATAGCCTTATCACCACCACCACCTCCCATCCCTACCATGTGGGGGGCCTGTGAGGAAGTTCAAGACCAACTCGTTTTGAAAACACTGCAGGCTGGCGCGGTGGCTCACGCCTGGAATCCCAGCACTTTGGGAGGCCGGGGCGGAGCAGATCACTAGGTCAGGCGTTTGAGACCAGCCCTACGCCCAGCATGGTGAAACCCTGTCTCTACTAAAAATACAAAAATTAGCGGCCATGGTAGCAGGTGCCTATAATCCCAGCTACTCGGGAGGCTGAGGCAGAATTGCTTGAACCAGGAGGTGGAGGTTGCAGTGAGTCGAGATCACGCCACTGCACTCCAGCCTGTGCAACAGAGCAAGACTCCATCTCAAAAAAAAAAAAAAAAAAAAGAAAGAAAAAAGAAAAGAAAAGAAAGAAAATACTGTTAGAGTCTTAGACACTTAGCATTAGGTCAAGGTTCTAAAAGTCATTTGTAAGGTTTAAACTTTTTCTTCCTAAATTTTAGGTTGAAACTTTATTATAAATATATGTTTGGCATGCCTCCCCATTTTAAACAGTACTACAACCATATGTACTGTTTTTTTGAGACTTCAGTCTGGCTCTGTCACCAGGCTGGAGTGCAGTGGACAATCTGGCTCACTGCAACCTCTGCCTCCCGGGTTCAGGAGATTCTTGTGCCTGAGCCTCTGGAGTAGCTGGAACTACAGTCTCCCACCACGACTCCCGGCTAATTTTTTTTTAATTTTTTTTTTTTTTTTTTTTTTTTTTTTAATTTTTGGTAGAGACAAGGTTTCACAATGCTGGCCGGGCTGGTCTCAAACTCCTGGCCTCAAGTGATAGGCTCACCTCGGCCTCCCAAAGTGCTGGGATTACAGGCATGAGCCACCATGTCCAGCCAACACTATATATACTTTTTAAAATTATTCATAAACCTATTGCTCCACTAGAACCACAGTTTGAATTTTGGTGTACTTCTAGTGCTTTTTGTTTTAAGGTTTTTTTTAAGTTTGTTTGCTTGTTCTGCACAGTTGCATTACTAGTGCTCCTGCCTGTTTTCTTTCTTTCCCTTTTTTTTTAAACTTAAAATTTTTTTTTTTTTAGGCCAGGAGCAGTGGTTCACGCCTGTAATCCCAGCACTTTGGGAGGCCAAGGCCGGTGGATCATGAGGTCAAAAGTTTGAAGCCAGCCTGGCCAACATGCTGAAACCCCATCTCTACTAAAAATACAAACATTAGCTGGGCATGGTGATGTGTGCCTGTAATCCCAGCTACTCAGGAGGCTGAGGCAGGAGAATCGCTTGAACCCAGGAGGCGGAGGCTGCAGCGAGCTGAGATCATGCCACTGCACTCCAGCCTGGGTGACAGAGCAAGACTCCGTCTCAAAAAAAATTTTTTAAATTAACTTAAGATTCTTTTTTAAGCTTAACTTAAAAACTATTTTAATATCAAGTGAAATAGTGAAAAACTATTATCACTACTCAAACTATGATTCTGACCAAGCATTTTGTGGTCTATCTGTGCTTGCAATTTTCAGGTTATCTTTTGAGGTGAGATGAACTGGGTTGGCAGACTCATTAGCAGGAGGGAGATGCTGCACTGTGCCTGGGACATTGTTAACATCAGAAAATAATAGTCATTAAAGGGAATGAAGGGCAGGGGGGGATGATTAGGAACCTAGAAACACTGACCAACTGTTCTATCTAAAAAACAAACGTCCAAAGCTCTTTTGGTCTCTGAGATACTCAACACTTAACTGCTCTTGAGCATTTGTAAGTAGTCAGACAGATCATTGTTCAAATCAAAGATTGAGTGGCAGTTCATCTCATCGGCCTTAGTTTTCTTCTCTGTAAAATGGGACGTAACCTAAACGTCATTGAACTTTTGTGATGATTAGAGGGCAAGTATGATAGCTTCTAGCTCAATGTTTGACACGTGGAAAGTAATTAGATTTATTATATATTATAGTATTCATTAGAATTTTGAGGTCAACTCTGTCCATGTGTCTAACCATCTAAAATAAAGGATGGATCCCTGTGGGAAAGAATTGAACTTGGTCTTTGGTTCAGAATTCCTGCCCCTCCGGGTGATGGAAACATAAGAAAAGCAGAAGAGTACAACCTAGCAGTTCACAATTTTTCGTTATTTGCCAAGGAGAGAAAATTTAGGTGACACAAAGGACACTTAGAGGCCTGTCAGGCAGCAGCAGCTCGGGGAATGACAGATCGATCTCCACCTTGGAGAAGGAGGCTGGGAAAAGCTATGCTTTATGGAGAGCTTGGGGACTGAGGCACACTCGCGATTTATGCACTGACCTGGATTCTGGCAGAGCTTGTGTTTCACAAGACGTGGGCGCCCTTTCAATCACAGATGCATCTTTTTGGAGTAGAGGATACTCTTTACCATCCTGTCCTGTTTTTCCTAGGACTTCCTGTTCTTGGGTGCCAACGTCCAATACATGAGAGTTTGAGGACAAGAAAGATGAAGCTTGGAGGCCACATCTGGATCTGCGTGTTGCATTTCCAGCTGTGCAGCACATCTCAGAGATTCTTGAAGAATGAAGACATTTCTGCTCTCAGCTCCGGGGATGAGGTCTGCCTGGCCTCTGCCTCCACCCTCCTCCTCTTCACCAGGTGCATGCATGCTGTCTCTGAGTCTGGACTTTGCTTTTCCCCTCCAGGAGGGACCACCCGCCCCGACTGGCCTGGGATATCTTTACAAGCAGGCACTGTAATTTTTTTTTTTTTTTTTTTTTTTTTGGCCATCTGATCCCCATGCCTAGCAGAGTGCTGGCACTTAGTAGGTCCTCAATAAATATTTATTAGATGATGAGATGATGGAATCACCTGGCAGGCCTCATCACTGCCTGCCCTCTTCTGACCTCAGGGGTCTTTGGATAGTCAACCCCATCTATGGTCTCCAAGGCTCCTTTCTCATCGCCGCTGCTGTGGGAGCCTCAATGAGAGAACCAGGGATTCTGTACATCACTTAGCCCTGGACCTGGTGCCAGTGCTCGTCTCTAAGGCCCTTGTCCTGTCTCAGGCAGGGGCTCACTTCAACATCGCTCCCTCCCTCATTTCTTGCCTGCTACAGCCAGGGGAGCCAATGATCTCCTGGAGCAAAAGCTCAGCCTCCCGCTGCTTTTCCCCCATTGAAGCAGGTGTAAATTAGGAGGAAATGGATCTGTCTAAGTTTTTGGTCCAACCCCAATAAATAGCTCATCCAACTGTTGTTTATGAGCCCCAAGCCTGGAGGGAGAGACCATGATTTCTAATTACTGAACAATGAGCCTTTGATCAGACTAATAAAGAGTCGTTTCCAAGTTATGTAGTTGGGCTCCCAGGGACTGGGAGTCAGAAGACTCGTTTGATAATTTTTTTATTGTGTTAATGAGCAGATGGATGGAGCTTCAGGCTAGCAGATAATTCACAGGGAATAGTCCCATTTACCGTGTGTGTGACAGAGATGTGTTCCAAGATGGGACGACGTGTTGTCGCCCAGCTGGTGACAGGGTAAGCTGTGGCTTCGTGTCCTCTCTCCTCTCTACTTTTGTTCATTTGTTTTCCACCACTGTCCATCCCTATGGCCGACTGGTGAAGGACACAGACTTCATCCAGTACTAGCCGTGTGGCCTTGGGAAGGTCACTTTCCCCCTGGGGTCCTTATCTATGAAATGATGATGATGATTATAGTAGTCACTTTCTGGGACTGCTATAATGACTGTATTGGGTAATCCATGTGGAAGGATTTATTTAGCCACAATAGGGATTCCATATTTATTGGCTGGGTGTGCTTACTAAGCACCTCCTATTTGCCAGGCTTTGGGGTCCTCATGGGGAGAAATACATGCAGCACAGGCTCCATTCCTGTTCCTGCTTTTAAGAGTGATACTTAGGTATGCTGAAAAGAGCCAGTATTGATTCCAGCCTACCTGTTTTGGGTCCCTGGGCAAGATATCTCCAAGCCTCAGTGTCCTCTCCTGTCAAATGAGGCCGGAAAGAGCTCCCAGCAGGATTACTTTGGAACTTGATGGATTCACGTTAAGCTTCCGTGGGTGCCCAGGGAATAACCAGCTGGTGGTCAATGGATGACACAATTAGATCACCTGTCATACTTTGGTGTCCCCAGAAGCAGACCCTGAAACAAAGAGATGAGTACAAGTATTAGGGTGGTGCAAAAGTAATTGCGGTTTTTGCCTTTTTTTTTTTTTTTTTTTTTTTTTTGAGACAGAGTCTCGCTCTGTCGCCCAGGCTGGAATGCAGTGGTGCAATCTTGGCTCACTGCAAGCTCCGCCTCCCGGGTTCACGCCATTCTCCTGCCTCAGCCTCCTGAGTAGCTGGGACTATAGGTGTCGCCACCACGCCCAGTTAATTTTTTGCATTTTTAGTAAAGACAGGGTTTCACCATGTTAGCCAGGATGGTCTCGATCTCCCGACCTCGTGATCTGCCTGCCTCAGCCTCCCAAAGTGCTGGGATTACAGGCGTGAGCCACTGCGCCCGGCCTTTGCCATTACTTTCAATCGCAAAAACCGTGATTACTTTTGCACCAACCTAATAGTTTATTTGGAAGAAGATCCCAGGCAGTACCAACAGGGACTGGAAAATGAGATGGAGAAGGCAGCCTATAAATGGTGAGTGATGAAACCAATTACTACCATAGGTGACTGGAGCTAATCCCACTGGAGAAACTCTGAGACTCAATGTACAGCACATCTCATGGTATCCCAAGAGCAAGGGGAGCTGAAGTATATATACACCACTTCCCATCAGTCATAGGTTGAGGGGAACTCCTAGGGGTTATTAGTTCTCTGGTTCTTCTAGTCTGGGGAGTGGGCTATAGGAGCCATAGAAATCTCTCAGGCAAAGAAATGCAAGCACTGGTGATTAGAAGTCAGATTGGTGTGCACTGATGTGGTAAGGTCTGGGAATCTGGGTGGGGCACTGATGTGGTCTATTCATGACTTTACAATAGGGTAGCAGCTCAGCTGGTCAAAACCCCAGCTGTACAATTAAAATGTTTGCCACGTTGCCTGGAAAAACTGTGATTTGTTCTCTGCATATTTTTTTAAAACTCAGATTTAGTTTGCAGGCAAGCTTGCGTTCCAGAACATTCTAGGACATTCCCAGGGATAGCTCCAAGAAAAGGCTCAGGGAAGCTCAGGCAAGTCCTTGATGGGTATGAGGCAACAAGGTTTGCTATAAGACAAGGGAAAAAATACTTATTTGTGACAAAGGCAAAAGGTTTGTTATTCATAAAGCAGGGAAAGGGTATTCTTATTCTGTGAAACTAAACATTTTCATTTTGTAACAAGTGCCATAGGGGCCAAGAGAAAGCCTCCCCCTTTGCCCTCTGAAAATTTGCTGAAAATGAAAGGACAATAGATACATTAATAGAAGAAAAAGGCATACAAAATTTATTTAACATAGACAGCATGGGGGAATCACATAAGAATCATTACCCAGGCTGGGTGCAGTGGCACATGCCTATAATCCCAGCAATTTGGGAGTCTAAAGTGGGTGGATCACTTGAACTCAGGAGTTTGAGACCAGCCTGAGCAACATGGTGAAACTCTATCGCTATAAAAAATACAAAAGATATATATATATATATATATATATATATATAGCAAGGCATAAGGGCATGCCCCTGTAGTCTCAGCTACCCGTGAGGCTGAGATTGCTTTAACCTCATGGGAGGATTGCTTGAGCCCAGGAGGCAGAGGTTGCAGTGAGCCAATATTGCGCCACTGCACTCCAGCCCAGGTACCAGAGGAGTGAGACCCTGTCTCAAAAAAAGAAAAGAATAATTACCCAAGAAGCCAATGGGCACAGATGCTTCTCTACCCTTCTTCATAGGGAAGGGCATAGATTAAGGTGGGAGTAAGTGATTTTCAGGAGAAATGATTGAGCCCAAAGAAGAATGGCCTGGAAGAAGTTCCTCTGTGCACTGGGGGAGGTGGCAGCAAGGTGAGGGGCAGAACTTCACAATGAACAAAGGTTGCCTTGTTATGCAGATGAAGGGCCCCGGGTAATCTCTGAGCTGCACTAAAAGGATAGATGAAGAAGCCTGTCTGGGCAAGATGATGATTCCCAGTCTTTTCTCCAGTTAATCTTTCTTGGCTCTTTGATGAGATTCCTAGGAAGGGGGTCTTAAAATAATTGCATTTCTTTTGGAAAGAAGTTTTCTTATTCAGAGAAGGAAATTCCAGACAGAGTCCCTGTTGGTGCTTCAGAAAAGAGGATCAGAGAGCTAAGGGGGTGAGGGAAGATCAGAGGGAGACCTTGAGGCTGCTTTTTTAGTTCAGCATATCAATGTGCCATGTATTGGCATATAGTTTTCTGAGCCCCAACAGTGTTATATCTTGATGGGGTAGTACAGGACAACGCAGCTGACCCTAGAGTCCCATTGCAGGTTCTGACACCCTGAAATCTGCCTGTAAGCATATGAGTATCCCGGACAGCTCCAACCTGTAGAGAAGGACTGGCCTTGGGACAGGAGGTTCTGATCTCAATGACCAGAAGAACTGGACTGTCAAAGAACTTTCAAGAGACCACAGTGTCATTGCTGTGTAGAACTCATTCTCACACAAAACCAAGATGCCACCTTGGAGCGCCTCCTCTTGACTACAACCTGTTCCTCCCTTCTGCCCTTCACTGATTTCCCCTCTCCTCTCCTCAACCTGATCAGAACATCTAGCCCCACCAGTCTTCCAGGCCACTACTCTGATTTAATTTGTCTCCATACCTAAGCACAATTCATCATCTCTAACAGAATCCTTTCATCTCCTGACAATCCTACTTTCCACATCCCCAGCCTGGGGCCTAGGCTTAGGTAAGAGAATTAAATCACTGGAGGAAAAGGCAGGCAGGCTATAGCCAGTTGAGGTCTCCTTCCATCACCAAAACCACAGCTCTGTCTGAATGGCCTAAGCAGCAGGAACAGCCTAGAAAATGGAATACATGATATTTCTAATGAGAATCTCAGGTAAGGTCTCAGAACCCACTCAGTCTCAAGACATGCTTTTTTTTTTTTTTTTTTGAGACAAGGTCTGGCTCTGTCTCCCAGGCTGGAGAGTAGTGGCACAATCTTGGTGAACTACAACCTTCACCACCCGGACTCAAGCCATCCTCCCACCTCAGCCTCCAAAGTAGTGGGACTACAGGCATGCACCACCATGCCCAGCTATTTGTGTGTGTGTGTGTGTGTGTGTGTATTTGTTGTAGAGACAGGGTTCTGCCATGTTGCCCAGGCAAGCCCCGAACTTATGAGCTCAAGTGATCCACCGATCTCAGCCTCCCAAAGTGCTGAGATTACAGGCATGAGCCACCATTCCCAGCTGCATTTCTTCTTTCTTTTTATTTATTTATTTATTTTTGAGATGGAGCTTCTCTCTTGTTGCCCAAGCTGGAGTGCAATGGCATGATCTCAGCTCACTGCAACCTCAGCCTCCCTGGTTGAAGTGATTCTCCAGCCTCAGCCTCCTGAGTAGCTGGAATTACAGGCACCCACCACCACGCCCAGATAATTTTTGTATTTTTAGTAGAGACTGGGTTTTACCATGTTGGCCAGGCTAGTCTCGAACTCCTGACCTCAGGTGATCTACCTGCCTTGGTCTCCCAAAGTGTTGGGATTACAGGCATGAGCCACTGTGCCCAGCCTGCATTTCTTCTTTCTAAGGAGCCTGAGATGCAGCTTAGAAGAAAAGACGCTAGCATGCCAGGATAGTCCATATTGTGCTGTAAGTGAAGGCAGCATGGAGAAGTCCTGGCAATGTAGGTAACAAGGTCAGGGGCAGCCACAGGTCTGAATAGGTGGAAAGATGAGAGCT